CATGTTTCATTTGTATTGCAACGGTCTTTGCAGGAACAGTGCGCTGGATGCCTACAACACCGAGAATAAAATACTAGTCACAAATTCAGAAGTGTGTAATGGAAGTGCAGTAAGGGAGGTGTGACACCAGGAACAGTGATCCTGAGCACGCAGTGGTCATGGCATTGCACCTGCCAACGTGCAAAGGTTTATAAAGGTTAATGACGCAGCACAGAAGTGGTTCTGGAGGCATTTGCAAGACAGGAACGAAATCTATACTGGTAAAGAGATGGTTGAGAAAAAGGCAACAATAGGAAAATGCAACAGAATTCAGTCTGAAATAACAAATCAGAAAAATAATCACTGCAGCAATATTAAAAATGTGTTTCAGATAAGACTTCTCTGTGTCTCAGCTTGTATTTGTAAAGGGGAATATTAATTCTCAATGATCTAATCACAGCACTTTGAGGATGGTGAACAAAAACCTAGAATAATACTATAACAAAAGAAGGATGCAATTTTGGTGCTGGGGAAAAAAGGATGGTAACAATGAGATAAAGTGGAGCATAACTGTGGATCAAATGAAACAGTATGGTTTGGGAAATTGTAGATAACAGCACAGTAAACACTGAGTAAAGGCCACAGTGGTGACAATCAAGATTTCTGCTGGATCTAAAGCAAGAATCTTAAGAATCTTGGCATTGTATGAAATGCTGAAAAATATATTAACAGCAACATTGAATAATCAATCAGAAATAACAGCAGGAGAAGAAAATGAATACCTTTTCAAAACCAGTCTCCAAACTATGTAACACTATGTGCCAAGAGCAGTGTTGAATTTTTGGTAGTTTGTGGTAAGGGTAACAAAGGAAAAACCTAAGGTTAAGAATCTGATGGTGCAGAAGTGCTGGGCACCTACATCTACATTTAATGCAATCTAGCATCACAGATTCATGGCACCTTTGAAAATCAGGCTCTAAAAAGATAAACCCCACAATTTAGCTGGACAAACTTGGTAATTAAAAATACCTAAAGGCTGTGATATTCACCTGAAGGAACCAACAAAGGGCAATTTAAATCTGGATCCCAAATAAAATGTTAGAGGACATCTTGCATAAGCAGGAAAGGTTTTGAACATCTCATTTATTCCTTGGTATATAACCTCTTTCTGTCATTGAGGGCACTCAGACAGCTAATGAGGTAGGTATAGCACACCCAAGTCTTTCCTGATAAATAACGGTGATGGTAACACTTTCAACCTTATTGATTGGTCTAGAACAGAAATCATGATGATAATGGGTTTATATATCCCTGAGAGGGAGTATAAAACAGGAAGAACAGGAGTCTTCTCCATAGATTCTGGGAGAAGGGCCATCACTTCACTGCCATGGTGGGAAAGTGCGTTTTATGAAATAAATGTATTCGCACAACATTGCTGCGAGATACGTGTGTTTTATAGATGGGGGAGCCAGAAAAGTTAATTGACTTGCCTATGGCCACGAAAGCAGTCAGTGCCAGACCTGGGATTCATGATCAGGACTTCCTTGCCTCCTACATCATGTTCAAACAGTTATCTACTTGCTGGCCAGAGGCTCACTGCATGGTTGTTCTAACATACTGTATAAAGATAGTCATGCAAGGGATGTAGCACAAAGTCACTGAAGAACAGAGCTCTCTCTGTACCAGAAAGCAGGTTTCTTCTGGAAGCTGCGTGCAATTGGGAACCTCTGGTGGGAAGCACACATCTGGTTTCTTCACCCTGGAATGTCTGGTGTTTAAGGCTTAGCACAATGAGGACCATTTTAATGACTAAATGTAACAGAGAGAGCCCGTACAGGCATAAATTACAAGGTGTCTGGTAGTGGAACAACCTTTTCCCTGTGCTCTTCTGACCCATAAAAAACAAACATTAGCCTGGTTAATTCAGTGGACTCATCACATACAACTATAGATCAGTCTATATTTCCATGTCCACAGGTCGGATATCTCCAGTTTTGTGTTCTTTTACCCACAGTTCCCTGTCTTTGGCAGGATCCACTTTCCGAAGCAACTGATCCACGAGCTCTACTGTCTAAAACGAACAAAACAAGAATCAAAATGTCAAGGGCGCATTTCAAGCAGAGACAGTCATTGCTCTGAAGTGTAGAGCAGCTATGGGCACGCCTACGTTGCATTTGCAGACAAGTGAGAACTGCGCGTACGCGAGACTCGGTGGACAACAGCCAGATCTGAATGTGAAGCCTTGCAGCAGGAAGCAGAGAAGAGTCAGACTTTAACGTCAAGCAGAGACAGGTTTCCTATGCCAGGCATTGGCCAGTCGGTCTCTGACTCCTGTCCTGCAATCTGTACCTTACACCAAATACAACCATGTACTGAGGTTGGCATTCATCCCCTGTATTTTAATATTTGAAAACTAGCCAGTTTTTTAGTAAGAAAAAAATATATACTCCCTCCCCCAACAGTGAAACTATTTACCATCTTCCTTGCAAGAATAGATGACCTCAAGGAGTAGTGCATCATGCTGGGAGAACTAATAATGGTTCATGCTGGCCAAATGTAATTCAATTCATTGTGTCTCCCCCAGCAAAAAGCTGTGATCCAGCAGTATGAAATGTAACTAGGATCAGAGAGTCTTGGAGGAGCAAGGCTGTAGGGTGGCAGTACAGTACTGCTGCAAACTAACAAGCTGACCACATACACTTTTCACGTCTCCTTTTGATACAGGTCAGTCAGATCAGGATAGGGACCGTTCTGCTCAGCTGAAGTGCAGTAAAGACCAAAGGGACCAAGCAAAAAGCAGACTTACACTTTGGTTGAACATGTCTGTCTCATGCCGCAGCTGTGTATACTGGCAAAGATGCTGCCGAATCATCTCCACCCTTTCAACTTCTAGTCTCTCAAGCTCCTGGACACGAAGAAAAACAAGTCCATATTTTTCTTGGAAGCTGAGCTTGAAGGCCCAGAGAAAGGATGACACACGAAAGGTTGCCAGTCAGTGCAATACTACCCCAGGGTCACGCTTTGGGGCTGAACTCTGTGGTTGCACATCCCTGAGATTTGCAGAGAATCTGAGACAGCAAGCAACAGAAGTCACTTCAGCCTGAGCCTAACAACAGAAAAGAAGGTTGAAACCTTTCCAAACCTGAGACAACCAAGGCAGAGAGAGGAGCTACTGTCTTCAGGGATGCTGCAAGCAAGAGGGAATCTGTTTCCTGCAAGAAGCTTTGCATGCTTTGTTGCTAGCTCCAGAAGTTACAGTGATTCCTTGGGGAAGCAGGAGACCACATTGGGGTGTATGGCTCAGAGGGCCTGACTGCCCTCGGTCTAACCAGACACCTGTAAGAGCAGTTTTATCTGTTCACCAGATGATGAGCTGGGACAAGTCTCCACCTCACTCAGCCAGCAGTAAGCAGACCGCAGCAACCCTTTAGTTGAAAAGGCAGATGATTTCCAACTTTCCTCCTGATTTCTTCTGCCTCCCTCTTCTCCTGGATTCTGACATTATACCCCAAAATCTGCATTTAGTCCCTCCTTGTCCATCTGAGCGGCAGCAGTGGAAGCAGCATGCTATGGAAGTCTGCCTTTAAAGACATATACTGTAATGGACTTTGCTGTTTCACTAGAAAGCTCTGTATTCACAGGGACATCAGTGGGGCCAAATCTTAAAAAACCTGCCTTCAGAGGGCATTTCTGGTGTCCATCATGGTGGAATGCAAACTGAGCATATACAAGCAGGCAGGCTGCTACATTGCCTTCCCTGTGCTATCTGCAATTTGTTAAACGTCTTTTGCGAAACAGATCCTTCGTTACAGCACAAAAATCTCAGGTGGTAGACTACCTGCCTGGGGAGGAAAAAGAACAAAGGAGCTATGGTATGGACAGGACTGAAATAGACTGAGCTCCTATTACTGTTGCTGGTTGATGTACTGCCCTTATGGAAAAAATGGCCCAGTTTGAACTCAGACTCCCTTACTTAGGGCACAGATGCGCAGGACCAGAATGCAGAACCCGCTGTGCTAGTGCTGGTAAGCAGGCCATACGCAGAACATGCATTGTATCTGCACCAGAAACTTCAGGGAGGAAGGTACACAAGGAAACACAAATCTTCAGACCTTGACTCTCTCGACTTTGTATTGCATATGAACTAATCTGCATCTGAGCTGATCAGATGCAGATTGTTTTTCAATTTAGATTTTATATTCATGTACACCAAGACTTACCTTCAAATGCTTCTCAGCCTGAGTTTCATAACTGACAAACCTGCTGTGCAGCCTGCAGGCTATGACGTCCCTCTTGAGCTATCTACTAGAGCACTTCTGAGTCGTACTTCTCCGGGAGCAAATATGCAGCTAACATATACCTGGCCATATTGGGACACAGTGGCACTAATGGTCAGTGTCATCTGCGTCAGTAAGAAACCACCAGTGAAGGTGAGAGAAGAATCAGATCCCTTATGTAAAGGAACAACCAACTTTTTCTCTCTTGTTCTGCTTTTGGGAAGATATCTGCCTCCTGGTTTTCCACTCACCCATCTGCCTTTATTTATTTACTGCAGTTTAAATATTGCACTGACACACTTCCAAGTGCTGAGCAATTTATTACCCTGCTTCTTATTAGGAGGAGTTTACACTTTTGTGTTTACCCAATGAGAAAAATACATGCAAAAGACACTTTCATTTCCCACTTTTGAAAGCTATTGGCTGTTATCCAAAAGGGTCCAAGGAATGACATGAGGGAGGAGCCCTAAAGCCAAAGTACAGGTATTTCAAGGAATACAGCACATCAAAGCTGTATCTTGGCATCTTGGTGACTAACCCCAAAGGTATACGCCCTTAGGGTGAATACTGTGAGCTGTGTTATCTTCAGAGAAACAGAACAATACGTAATTAAAGCATGCCTCTTCTGAGCTGGCAATATCACAAAGAAATTGTAAAGTCATAGAATACAAAAATTCATTGACGTATAAACGGATTCAGTGATTTATCACATGTTTTTCCACGTCTTCCTTGTGCGTTACTTCATCCTTCCTGGGGACAATTCCAGTGTTCTGGCCCCTAAGCAGCCCTGAAGGGGTTTAATGCCTTCTGCAAAGAAACAATTATTTCTTCCTTCCCCTAATGATATGAGTTTTTCTTAGAACTGAGAATGGGCAATACAATGGGAGATTTATCACCCAATTTTTCCCAGTGCTTTGCACTGTAACTAGCTATGCGTGACGGATGTTGTATGCTATTACAATTTTGCAATCTTATACATGCAAGATGCTACACAGAGTTACATACCAGAGTGGTGGTCACCATTTCCTCAAACCACTTGGACTGGGCTTGATTGTAAAGATCCACGCAGCGCATCAGGTCATCTCCTGAAAAGATCAAGATAGCAACACATTAGTCTTCTCTAGCCAGTGTTACGGAGCTTAGAAGGAAATTGCAGTTCAGGTTTTGCAGGCAGACACAGAGGGTTTGAAGGTCAGTCCTGGTGGAGCTGAAGGCAGTTCTGTTACATGGTATTTGTTAGGTGCAATAAAATTTCAACAAAATACATGCACTTGATGTGTGGCAAAAGATCAGGTGATTGGGGTGAGAAAGAATGAGGGGGAAAATACAAGATTTTGAAAGGAAAATATGAACATTAAGACATTTACAAAATTTACATTAACATTTACAAAATGCCCAGAACTATGAAAGCAAGTTACTTCAGTTTAAAAAAAAAAAAAAAGGTCATAGACAGGAAGTTATATCTGAAAAATAAAATAATTAAAATGGGAAATCAATAATAATGAGTTATTGAGCTGCAGGGTAGCACTGTAGGTGAGGCCGCATTCTAAGACGGGTCTGTTTAAAACGGGAGCAAAGCGTCAGGCTCAAGCTGTCTGAGATGGAGGGATGTTTATTTGCAACCTCAACCCAGTTTCACACTCATGCATTCTCCAGCCTCTGAAGATGCACGATTCCAGTCGAGCTCTGGCTTCCTCCCATGTTCAGGGCAGTAACACAATAAGCTGCGATTATTTCAATTTTTTCTTTGTTGCAGGACTCTGCTCTGACAGAGAGGGAAAGGTGGATGGAAAATCTGGAAGTCATGTCTCAGAGATTACTGCTTTCTGACTAGTAAATTCTCTTTCTTCTTTAAACGAAGCTCAGTTACGCTTTCCTTAATGGTTTGATGCCTAAGTCCAGGGCTCAAATTCATCCTGTTCTTTTAGGTGCAAAAAGGTCTTTATACATAAACTAGGGATGAATCAAGCTTGAAGAACAGGACTCCATAGACCAAACAAGTGTCAAAGAAGTAAATGCATCTGGAAGTCTCTCATGGACTTAGAACTTGGGCTGGCAACCAAACCCCATGAATAAACCAGGATTCAGGGCTTAAAGCTCGGCCATAAGCTTATCCACCCGGACAGGGGATGCCTAGTCTGACATGACAAGTCTGAACTAATGGCTCCCACACTCCAGGAGGCTCCTCAGGAGCCATCTGACTTGGGGTTATCCTCCACCCAGCCGAATGAATCTGAGCCACTGTACAGCCAGGAACATGAAAGCCATGAAACACATGAACAATCCATGGGAGCAGAAAGCAACGCCACGTATCAGTAACCAGTGGGATTGTAGAAGGGCTCTGGTCTAGAGCTCTCTAGTCCTATCATCCACTGCGGCAGGCCTCATTTCAAAGCCAGATCACTACGTGCTGCTGCTGTGCGCATCGCAAGCACCCCAGCTGGGCTTCTGGGTGGGACTACCTGCGGGGATAGGGCAAGTCCTCCCCTGCCACGCACCCTAACAGTGGCAGAAAGTGGGGGAGAGCGATGGGGAGACTCACACCAAACTCTGGGTTATGTTCATCTGATCTTCAGCTCTCCCTTGCTTGTTTAATAAATATCTATTACAATTTCTGAAGACCCAAGAGAACACAGAGAGGCTGTGAATTTGCAGACGGATAAAGAGTATCTCTCATGGAGCCTCCTGTCGCTAACATGTAGCATTTGTTTCTCCTCAAATGGTTGCCTATACACATGGTCACACTGCAAACGACTCTTCTCAGTCTCCTCAAAACACAGACAGGCTATCCTGAATTTTTAAAAGCCTCAGAACTATGAAGGACCACTCTGCCAAGGAATGGACCTATGAAGGGATGAAACATGGAAGCCCTAGTTAAAACATATTTTCAGCACAGGTACTAACAGAGCTGCACATATCAGCTTTGCAGATCTCAAGACAGTTCCTGATGGATCCTGTAGAAGTGGCTTGAGCCTCTGTAAAACATGCATAGGTCACATCAAGTAGCTGTGTCCTCAGTACAATACAGCACACACTACTATATCCTCAGTATCCCCTGAACAGAAATCATTTTAATCACTGAGTAGCAGTGGAAGAAAGACAAGAAGTTCACTTTCAAGGAAAAAGACAGTAATAGGAAGCATAATAGGCACCCACATAGTTGTGGGTGACTGTGATTTAGGAAAGAACCAAAGAAAGAACTATGATTTAAGGAAAAAACATCTTCAGCTGAGCTTCTTTAAATCTGACTTCGAAGAGTATCACAAACATTCAGTTATCTCAGCACACTTTCACAAAACAAAAGGACAATTCACCCTCCTTTTACTGTTCTCATCCCAATTATCAAAATCATCATTTTGTGACGTCTGACTTGGAAAAACTGGCCTTGCTTCTTCTGAGGATTTAACACCAAACAGATTTGTAGCACGGTTCACTTTGACTTTGTAGCTACAATATTAAAAAACAAGAAACACGTGGGTGGATGGGCAGCTGCATCCCATCTTGTTCCTGCCATCCGCGGGGCTGCGCTCGCCTCCAGATGCTGACAGACACAGGTACTCACCCGCCTGAGTGGACTTCCGTCTCGCCTTCTTAATTTCCTCTTCCGTCTTGTTGCTGATCTTCACCTCTAGCTGCTGTGTTTTCATTTCCAGATCCTTCTGTCTCTCTGTCAAGGCTTTCCGGGCCTTGGAGTAATTAAAGAAGAGTCACATGTTTTAGAGGAAAAGAGCTGCCAGCTGCTTTCAGCCATCTATGACTCCTTCATACAAGTATTTGTCAGTAAGAAGTCAGGGACTTTGCATAAAACTGGGTCCTAACTGGGATTCAAGTTCTTAGGACACCATGTGGTGTTCAAAGAAGTGTCCTACCACCCTATAGAAGTTGTCACCAACAAATCACAAAAGCATGTGAACTCTTCATAGGTTCTTAGAAAGGCACAGTACAAAAGGCATCATCAGACTTTAATGTTTCTTAGTAACTTTCGCACTACTTCTGGAAGAAAGGGGAGCTGAAGCTTCTTCCAAATGTCTTAACCAGCATCACCAAGACACCTCTTCCATTTGCTTTTCTTAGGATCTCAATTGTTGAAAGAACTTCAGGTATCTTATAAAATTTATTTTTAAGTACCTCCTGGATTCAATATACAATTATCAGAAACTCTAACAACAGGAACTTTTAGACTTATTTCAGAAAAACTAATTCAGGTTCATGACAACAGCAGTTCGTACTGCAGAAATCAAGAATCTGAGACCTGGTTACAACTGATTATTTAAATTACTTTACTTTAAAGGTCTTCAGGCTTTTGAAACCTGATTTATCAGTATCATTACTGAACTTATACAGGCAAATTAGTAAAGTGTCTTAACAAATAAACATCACTACCACATTTGCATGCTGTCACCTCATTTGCTGAGGTTGCCTAAATACATAAAATAAAAATAACTTGTTTTGCATGGACTTGTTATAAAATAGGTCACATCTGTTCTTTATCCAGTTGTAGTGTTTAAAACTAAATTTGGATGATCATATTTTGTTAGTGCCTTGCAGTTTTCTACAGCCACACCAGCCTGCAAGTTACAGTGCTCTTGAGACATTACTTGAATTTTTTCAATTTGCAGTTTTAAAGACCCTGTACTTGGTTCAGAGGGTCGCAAGAGGGAGCTGCAGGAAAGCAATCTGGTGAGAAGCTGTGTGCTTCATCAGGCACACTGCAGACACCGCTTTTCCCTTTTTTTATTCCTTCTTCTCAAGGCTATTCTAATTCATTCTTTTCAATATTCCTACTGAGGACTGTATTTCTTTGCAGGTATGACTGTGAAGAACTTACTGTTTTGCAGAAAAATGCCTTCCCTACATACATACAGTCTAATAACCTTGTGTATCCTGCAGCAATTCTGCCCCTGCGCGAACTTTCTCATGTGCACTCTGATCTTTAGTGAAAGCCCAAACAACCTTCTGGGTTGACTAAGCATGGTATTTTCCTTTCCAACTTACACCCAAGAGCAAACCGCACGAGGATACCGTTTGGCATAAGCATCTTGGCAGCCGAGGTATGGGTATTCCGTTTCCTGCCAGCTGCTGATAAGAGAGAACTTTTTGTGGGTATAACTCTCCCTAAATCACAACCTCAGCTACCTACTGGATGTTCATGTTAAAACAGCCCCTGATGCTAGGGTGCTGCTGACGTTTGCGTTTTTCAGGTGAGGATGTTTGCTGTGAGGCACAGAAAACAGGAACTGGGAGAGGGTTTGTGACTTGCCGTGCCAGGTTTGAGCTGCCTTCCTTGGCCATCTGCTTTTGGCCACTGCACGAGAGGATACTGAGCCAGGCGAGCCTTCGGCCTGACCCTGCTGCTATTCTCAGGCAAGGTTTTTTAAATTTTGAGGGAAATATACATGACTTCCAGATGCACACGAGCAAGGAGTATTTTCATCAAATGTGTTAGAAATATATTGTCCCAAATTGGGAAGGGGAGGATGAAAAAAAAAGCTAGTTCAGTAGTAATGTAATAGCCCTGGATGTAGCCAGCTTCCCAAATCTCAGCTAAGCAGCAAACCATATCAGGGGCCCGGCAAAGCATAATTAACAGCAGAAAGCACTCAGCAGAAACCTTTGTGGTTCTTTGTGGCAGAGCAGAAACTTTTAAAGGGGCAGCTGCTTTTCTGTCCAAACCAGCAGTATCTCAAAAACTCTCCAGTTTATTCTCTGCTCCCACCTTTTCAACTGCTGCGTAGCGGCTGGCCAGATGCTTCCGTAAGTCTGCAATATGGTGGTCACACTTCTTCATGTCTTTCTTAAAGTTCTCTCTGAAGTTGAGCAGGGGTTTCTCTACCTCACTCTGAAGCTGGTAATGAAAACAAAGGAAGAGATGGCAATAATGAGGAGCCGGGCAGTAATTCCTGGCTATTCTGCTGAGCAGAGCTCAGGACAGGGAGGAAACAATACACACACTGCAGCCAAAGGCAATCTCATACAGCAACACTTCTCTTCCCCAAGAGAGCTCTGAGTGAAGCTACCGCAAAACTCAGCTCTTCGCAGGACAGCTCTGTTAAGGGAGTATTTACTGAAGGGAGCAAAAGGACAGAAACCTTGTCTTCCTCTCTCCCTGTTAAATCATATCTCTCTTCTTAGAGACGTAAGATCAAACTGCAGGCAATATCCAGAGCACTACTTGAGGTGCTCTGATTCTGGCCTAACTGATGCAACTTGCTTAAAAAAACCCAAAGTACACAAACTAAAGTTGCTAACCCTGACTGCAATAAGGTGAGTCAGTGGACTGTGGTAACACATCTGCGTTTCTTGTATAGTGAAAAGAGATCCAATAAGGGCACATTTTATTTATTTCTGTCAAGTATAAGGGACCCTAAAGAGAAGCCTGAATATTTAGTTGAAACTCTTTAAATAGTGGCAAGAAACCGCTGAAATGAACTCAGGAGAGTTCAAGACTGCACATGTGACTTATCTCTTACAAGCAGGACTTGACAGTTGGTAATACTCAACTCCGTTAGAGTTTGTATCATATTGCTCTTTGGCCTTCTGATACACAGTTTTGGCATCCAGGAAGTGTGCTCTGAAGGGATACAGATATTTCACCTCCCTAGAAGCAACCAAATACTTCCTTGCTATTGTCTCTCCTGTGGGGATGCCGGACTCCATCAATGCCGGTGAGTTGGGTCCATAATCACCTAACATGGCCCACAGTGGGGCAGTATCAAATAGTCCCTGAAAGCAAGTATTTTCAACCTTTCTCCAGTGCTATTTTAATGGAGACGGAAACTTCATTCAGTCTCAGTACAGCCTTGTAATGGAAAGAGGCTACAAAGACAGCCAAGGCCCTACAGCAAACATCCTAGAGAGGTTTATTTAAGCCTAAAGCAGATGAAGACTTGTTTAGGCAGATGAAGACTGGCACCACAGTGATCTAATATGGCCTACAGCTATCTGAAGGTCAGATGCAAGGGTAACAGAGCCAAATTCTTCTTCGCAGGGCCAGGCAATGTCACACAGACAACTGAGTATTGGGAGGTTCAGGTTAAATGTAATTTAAAAAAAAAAAAAAAAATCACCAGAATGGTAGCTGGGCACTGGAACCGGTTGACCAGAGAGGTTGTGAAATCTCTGTCCTTAGATTCAAGACTCTGCTAGACAAAGACGTAGCTGATTTGATCCGCTGTGGGTGATAGCCCTGCTCTGACTGGCGGGGTTGGACTAGAAAATACTGGACAATATTTTTATGACAGTCTCATCAGGATAGCCCCCAGGCAAGCTAATAAAGACCTGTTCACAACTCTGGTCCAGCATGGTTAGATAAGCTCTCTCAAGAACAGAGGTACAAACGGATAGCTGTGCCAGGAGCATTGTCAATGCTCAACGAAACAATAACTGGAACAGAGAGAAGTTCAGGGTGGCTTCAGTGAACTCCAGAAGCAATATATTACAATTGACAGAGAGATCTGTGTCCAACAGAGTATCAAGTAGCTAAACAGTCTGCATGCCCTTCAGACTGCTCCATTAATAAATGGATTAACCTGGGTAAACAACCCAACATGAGTCAACCATCCTCAGTGGAAGAAGTGGCAACCTGACTCACCTGACATAAGTAAGCATTGCTGTGAAAACCCTTATAAAAATCCCCAGGGCCAGGGACACACCAAACAGGAGGGCATTTCACTGGTATTTCTACTTGCCTAATAGAAAGTAAAGATATTTGTTTATTTCACATGGTTTGTGTGGGACAGGAAATTCTGAGATCCTCATAAAGATGGGAAACGCATCATCAGGAGGCTCAAAATGCAAACAAGGCAACTGCTTTCTCCAGTTCTGTGTTCTGGGAATAAAAGAGGTGGACTTCTCAGTGAAGGCAGTCATCTTTCCTCTAGCATCATTATCCTGCTTGAACTTCCACCTTGCAAGAGGTACCAGAAGCTATCAAAATACTCACATGTGAATGACCCAGGCTTTTAAATGTTGCATTATAGTTGGCCATATTTATTCTTTTTTTCTTTTTTTTTTTTCTAGAAGATCTTGCTAAAAGACTTTCGAATGCATGCAATAGATGAAAAAACCATAAACTACTTTCCTAAGATGAAGAGATTTAAAGCACCAGTGTATACAGACAACTCTGATACTTACCCATCACTGTATGGGTGAGAGGTGACAAAGGGCTTGAAATCTCAAGAATTTTCCTAAAAGAAGTTACCAGGTATAGAACAGAGACCCTGTACCTCTGTACCAATATGGTAGAGTCTTAAGCAGAAAGACAGAGACATAGGGTTAACCATAGTATTAGATGCTGGAGAAACTACACAGCTGAGTTATCAGAAACCACACTTCAAAAATTCCTCTGATTTCACAAGTACTTATTTTTTCCTTTGCTCCATCAGCACCATTTCCAGAATGGCTGGTAACACTCCATCATACCCAGGACAGCCCACCATGATTTCAACTAGCACATGTGTGCATCTTCTCTTTCAGCAGAACTCACCTCCTGGAGCTCAGTGAGGGATAATCCAATAGCTGGAGAAGAGGTTCAGTGCCATGATGGCCTTCTTGAAGGATTCCCCATGTGCCTGTATCTACAGCTGCCATGCCAGTCTGTACAGGCATTAGTAGTGTAATAATATTTTATGTTCCGAGTGCCATGAGAGTGCTGTCACCTCCTCCGATCTGTTCATGACCCCCAATGTAACAGTGCCGTGAAGGACTGTCACAGAAGTTGTTCAATGCCGTCATGGCTGGCGTTTATGTTCGAATACTCTTGGTGTGCTCTGCACTGTACTGACTGCTTCATGTCAGCACTGACTGGTTTCCTTTGACTATCAACGAGAAATATAATTACTACTTCTAAGAATAACTTCTCTGATAGCAATAATCAATATGTTTAAAAGCACACTCTGTTAATAAAAGAAAGCCAGAACTAAGAACTCCCAAAGCAGGTACAGGAACAGTGGGGAGAGTTCAGAGGATGCTACAGGAGTTTCTGTGCAGGGTTTAAGGAAAAGTAAAATAATTAAAGAACCCCTGTACATTGCCTGCCTACACGCACAAATGCACTCCAGGGTGCATTTCTTCCTCCTGGAAAACAATACGAGAGGACAACGGGGAGCAAAAAGTATTTCATTAATTACAGCCCTGAAGTAGAAGTTCAAAGCAGAGCAGTGGGTTACCAAGGCAGCGGCTGGTTGCCTGAGTAACCTCTGCATAATGGCTTACAAACAGTGTAGAGCTATAATTTTCCTCCAGAACATGGCTGTTGTGCTGAGATATCTGCCACTGTATTGAACCTGATCGCCCACAGAGGTTAACATAATGTAACAGGACGCAAGAGTATGTCACATGTGGTGGAAAAAACCAGATAAATACCATAATTTGTATAAGAAATCTGCTTGGGCACCACTTGAGAGAAGATCCAAAAATAACATGAAGTGAGTTCCCAGTGCGCTTTTCAGAAAGGCTAACAATACGAAGAAGTCAGAGTCCTGGTTCTCTTCCTTCCAGACAGATACTGTAGATTCTTGTTGGGAAGGCAAATATTTTTTATTTCTTCCTCTCCAGAAGTAATCTGTACAAGCTCTAGGTAAATTTACTTGAACAGGCTCGAACTTAGAGCCCTAGGTGAATAACGTCTAGAATCAGTTTTCCTTCTTTTTTATGAAAAATTAAGGCTAGATGTGTTTTAACTTACTGAACAGGTAGATTAAATAAACTATGATTTTGGCGGGAAGAACGGATAGAGTTTCAGTAAGTTTGTTCACCAACTTATTAATTCTTCTAAATTTGTACCATATGCATGTGTATTTTCCCCTCTAACAAGCACTGAGGGAAGATCCACATCAATTACATGGCAAAAATCTTTGCAAAAGGAAGAACTATTTACCTTAGAAGAAAATTTGAGATGAACCTCTGCTTCATCAGCTAGACTCTTCTTTAGCTGAGCCCAAGCCTCTCCTAGTGTGCTGAAAGAACACAGAGCGACAATGATCAATGCTCTGTCTTCTGCACATCCTCCCAGCTAGAGTTGTCAGATAGTGTCATATAGATATGGTACAACGCTTTGTACCATATCATGCTCAGCAAAATCACGGAGAAGTGATAGCAGAAATCTAAGAAGATAACCAATCTCTGTGACCGAGGCAGAATTACACTGGCATTGTATGTAGCAGATCTTTGAAAACACTGTTCATAATGATCTCCAGTTACAGAGATGCCACAGTCCCCATAAACAAGATACTTCAGTATCTTATCCTTACCATAACAAAGATTTTCTTTTCTAATCCTTAAAATAAATCTTCACCAATGCAGTCTTCCCATTGCCTCTTCTACTTTACACCCTACCTTTGGTGAACGGATTATTCTACTTGTCCTTGGAGAAGCCTTTCAGTATTTGAAAATTAAGAGGTTTTTTTCTCCACCTTCTTTTTCCTTCAGACAAATTATTTTCTAGACGATGGCAGTTTAGGTACACGCCTCTAGACCCTCTCCAGCAGCCTAGATTCCTCTTAATGCTTCATAACCAAAACTATGCTGTCTTCCAGCAGAAGTCTTCCAGTTGCTAAACTGGTAACAGATTATTTCATATCAGGCACTTTCTTCTACATATCTCAGTATGATTGCTTTTTTAGACAACAGCGTGAAGTTGTTGACGAATAAGCTTGTGATTCACTATAGCCAGATCCTTCTCCCACAAACTGTTATGTAACTGTATCTTTCACATCCTGTGAAAGTATAAAACCTGGTACTTTGTCCTCATTGAAATGCATCTTAGTTTTTTTCAGTTCACTTCTCTAGTTTAACAAAATAATTCTGAATTGCAATCTTTTCTTCAAATTGTACACACCATCCCTCCTAGCTTTGTCTCATCTCTGACTACAGTAAACCCATTATTTATTCTATCATAAGTCATTAACAAAAGCACTGAAAAAAATCTGGACTTGGGACGAACCTTATGGGATCTCACTCCATAGCTACTTTCTGCACTTCACTTTTTGTAAGTAGCAGGTACGATTTCTTACCTAGTTTTGCACCTTAGGCTTTATTTAGGCCACATTTCTCTTGCCTGCCTACAAGAATCCCTCATTGCCAAAAGCTAAACTAAATTAAGAGCTATGATGCTGATGACTTCTGTTATTCCATCACCAGAGGAATTTAGGTTGGTTTGACACTGTTTGTTCCGTATGCATCCACAATAATTGCTCATCACCTTAGTTTTCCGCTGAGTGCTTCTAGAAGGCTTGATGGTTTATTCTACCACTTTGCACAGGTTATATAAAGGTGACTGATCTACAATTTCCCTGCTCCTTCTCTCTCTCCCTCACGCCCTTTTCGAAGATAGTCATATTTGTCCTTTCCAGGTAGCCTGAAAAATTGCCTGTCATCTGCAATTTCAAAATAATTATCTGTAATTTCTGACGTTGCTCCAATGAGTTGAGTCCTCAAGTATGGTGTTCATCACAGCTAAACAACCTGAGATTGTTTCACCTACTAAGTGCTCCCAACTCTTCTCTTTCGCTAGGCCCCCCCTCA